TTCCTGAAGTACGCCTGAGCTAGCTGCAAATGCTTTATGTTTTCATCCACGATTGTCTTCTTCTTAATTTTTGTAATCAATGCGCTCGTAATGTTGCACAGGTTTCTGTAGCTCTTTAGGTTGTTGTAAATTATTTCTCGAATAGTGTGCATGGCTTCCTTTTTTAAGAAGACCATGGTATTTCCGATCTGTGCGTGGAATGATAAAAGCGATGCGATGGGGTAGAAATGGTAAGAGCGAGGTGATGGGGTGGGAATGGTAAGAGCGATGCGGTTCGGCAGATTGCCGTCGACCCCGCCTCCAACCCCCTTCTGCAAGTATCAATGTTTGCCTTTCCGCAAAAACGACTCAATTTCTGTCCAATATTCCCACATGGACTCCTCACCTTGTATGAATCGTCGCCGAAGTTCTGCCGAAGCATCTTGGACACCTTGCTCTTGTCGTCCAAGGCATTGTCATTCGAAGTGGGCAAATCCAAGTATTGATAATAGCTAAGGAAAGAAGCAAAGGTGTACTTGTACTGAAAGAAATATTTTATATTTAAAGTTTCAACAATAGACAAGGAAAATAGCTGAGGAAAAACTTTCCTCTGATTGAAATTATTCTTCTCTTTATTTTCGTTTGGCTTAATGCATTTTATAAAATATATATTTGTGCTTTTCAAATAGGAGCTGATTTTTTTAAGGTTTTCCAAATATTTAAATGTGATTAAGTTTTTTCTTCCCAAGGAATCCGTCACTTCTACGTCTTCGTACATGCTTCTGACCAGGTTGTTCTTGGAGACCTCCAAAAGGGAAGAAAAAGTGGGAGATAAATGGGCACCATTATCATGTCGTAACGTCACATGCTATTGGAAATAAAATGGGGTCATTATTCAGCATGCAACTTGCGCTTTGTTCATATATTAGTGGAGAAATCGGTGCCGTCCAATTGGCCGCGCTGCGAAAAAGGCCCACCTTCAGCATCCGCAGGATGTTGGGAGACAAAATATCTCTATTCTTCGAAATGAAGTTCGAAACGCTGTAGGTAACGTCGCTAACGGTGTGCTTAATGACGAAGCTGCCGTTCATGTCCCTTTTGCAGGTGACGTACTGCGGGTGCTTGGCGAACTTGTTCGCGTAAACTCCCACGATGGACTGAGGGGAGAAAGGGGAAGGGATAAACGCAGCGAAAAATTGAAAGGGGTAGACGCGGCGAAAAAGTGAAATTGGTAAACAAAATGATAAAGGGAACAATACTGCAAATCAGTTGTGGAAGACACCGAACAGGGGCACCAAATGTAAACGTGCCCCCTTTCACACACGCACATTCGCACACTTGCTCGCGGCCCACCTCGTCCTTCTTTCCCGGGGCCAGGCAAGAGTCCTCCAAAATGGATATCACGCTCGTCTTCCCTCGAAGCAAGTCGATGATGCTTTCGTTTGTCGTGTACTTCACAGACTCAGCGATGATGCCCTCGCTCTTGTAAAGGTTAGACTCCTTCTCGTACACCACGTAGAGGTATATGTTGTGAATCTCCTCATTCGCTATATTAATGAGTAGCTGCTCCAGAGAATTTTTGAGAAAAATTTCGAACCCGAAAATGTCAAGTATACCTATATACCTATCCAACTCCTTGTTGTTGTTTAGAAACTCATTTATCTTCTTCGTGATATGCTCAAATATTTTATTGTATATGTCCTTCGAAATGGATCGGCAAATGGATAGGGACTCTTCAACAGATAGCGGGATTTCTATCCTCTGGTTCGCTATGTTCTTTTCTGTGAATGTTAAGCTGTTGCTCAAGCTGACGTCGTCGATGCCTAACAAGTCACTTGTCTCCTGAACAATTTTTAAATTTTCCTCATTCAGCTCGCTGCAATTTGTTTTCCCGCCCTTCTCAATTTCGTCAAATTCAATATTTCCTAATAGCATTATTCCTACGAACCATGGAAAAAGGGGAACCACCCCCAAAAAAAATAAAATAAAATAAAATAAAAAAAGGAAACACACAAAAAAAAGCTGGTTACATGTGCAGATCTACAATTTGCACACATGAACACGTCCATCAGATCGAAGCGGGTGGAGACATTACACAGTTGCACATTTCTACCTGATAGGGTGCGGAACAGATCATCCTTCAAAGTAGACATATTCATTTTTTCCATGGAAGTTATTAAATTCTCAAAATCTTTAGCGTCATCAATTTCTGTGGAGGTAAGTTGTGGTAGGCGGCAAATGGGGTAACAACCATAAGGACAAACTACAAAGCTGAGTTGTTGGTCACCACCGTTATGACCATACATTTTCGTTACTGTTTATACCCTCTTTTGCTATCCTCTTTTTTTTTCTCCCTTTTTGCACCCACCCGGTATGGTAATGCACTTGTTAGAAATGTACTTGTACTCCGATTCTGATTTAATGTTGTACTTTTTCTTCATCTCCGTACTCATTCCATGGAGGATTTCGTAAAAAATGTGGTAGCATCTTTCCTCTTGCTCCTTAACAAGTTGAGAAGGTGGAAAGATATAATCATTCAAACGAGTGTAGAAAGGGAGTAACCAAATGGATGTCAAACAAATCGCACAGCTTCAGAAATGCCCTTCACCAGATCATCCAGCTTTCTGATCGCTCTGCGGCCTTTCTCCCCTCAAAAAAAAAAAAAAAGGACTTACCTGTGACACGACTCTTATCTTTTCCAAGAGAAAAATTTCAATGCAAGAAGAGACAATGTTCTGGTTTTCGTCCAACTGAATTTTAATGTACTTTCCGTACCTGCTGGAATTGTTATTCTTTATAGTTTTGGCGTTTCCGAAGGCCTACAGGTGAGCAGTAAATGGACGGGAGGGGAAAATAAAAAGGACGCGTTGCACTTAACATGTGCATGTTCTTAAGGGTTCAAGGACGTTGCCGCGTCCGCTACCGCAGTTGTCACATCGGTATTGCTCCCCAGTGGGACCACACATTTGTCCACACTTGCGTCAAACTGGGAGCCACTGGGGAGGAGAGAAAAAACACACAATGCTGATGATGGCACCAAGTTGTAACTCCGCTTTGGTCAGATCGTGGGTAAAGGAGTGCACACATCGAAAAATATATGGACATACGCACGAGCTCCCACTCACAACCGAGCCAGCACCTCTAGTATAAAGTTGGAGTCCCACAACGCTTTCGAAATGCTGTTGTCCTCCTTGATCCCAGACAGGTAAAACTTAATAACCAGCTTGGAGGCCTCCGTTTTACCAGACCCACTTTCCCCGCTTATAATAATGGACTGACAATTTTTAGTATTTATAAAATCCAGCATTGCATCCTTCGCATACGTGTAGACATGCGGAGGGAGTTCGTCCGAATTCTTAGTTTTGTAATCATCCATATTGACATCAATTATTTGGTATGGGTTTATCGAAATTAACATTGGCTCGGCTATGGTGTAGATAAAATTCTGTTCATACCTCATGGCCAGGGTGTTTAAAATTTCGGCCGAATTTTGATGCACCATGTCGTTTAGCCTGTGACTGTTTACATTCACCATATTATTACAATTAAACAAGTGCTCTCTTTTCACTACATACTCGCTGTTCGTCTCTGGGCAGATTTCCTTCACTCTATAATTGTCTCCATCGACGCTAAGAACTAAGCATTTAAAAAAAACAACATCGGGGTAACGGTCCACATTTGGACTTTTATATGTCCACACATAAAACTTTTCGATTTCATCTTCACTTTTATTCACGAATTCGCTATTAATCCTGAAGTAGGTACTTAGTTCGCTAGCTTTATTCATCGTGTTGTAAGTTCAAATTGTCGACTTCTACTTGTGTAGTTTTTCCTTTTTCGTATCTATTTTTTTTTTTTTTTTTTTTGTTACTTCATCATATAAAGTGTGTGGAAGTAGGTACATGCCAGTCGAGCATGCTACTGATTTTTATTTTATCTAAAATTTAAGGTAAATAATGTGGACGAGCTCGAAGAAGTGCATCTTTTTTTGGGCATTTTAAAAAAAAAGTTTCTTAAAAGTCTTAAACCGCATAGTGTGCCATCCTCCCATGCATGCAGTTTCTCCGTTCTGTTGCCTTCTTACTCGCACGTAATTTCGTGGCACCTGCTCCTCATACGACACATATATGTATGTAATGCGTTTATAGTGGCTCAATATTTTTTTCTTTCCAAAATTACACAATAATGTTAAAAAAAATGAGTTTCAAAAAAAAAACGGCGCTACATATATTTTGCAGAAAAGAAGAAAAAAAAATGAAAGAACAGGCGCCATTTGTGTTGTAAAAAAAAAAAAAACCTCAATTTTCTCTTCTACCTTTTTGTGTGCACATTTTTTTCTTTCTCTTTATTCTGAACAAGCTGTTCATACAAAAAAAAAAAAAAAGAAGAAGTTTTCACCAAGTGAAATAAACAGTTCTGTTTATGCGTTTATTTAACTATTGGGGAGCATAAATTGGGAGAGTAAAAATTGTGCCCACTTCGTACATATTTACTCCTATACTGGAATGATGCAAAACGGAAAGAAAACTACGCTATAGACCACCCGAAGATGCCAAAATATTACACTTAATTGGTGCTAGCCAGCGAGGTTCTTTTTTTCTTTTCTCTTTTTTTTTTTCCTTGAGGAAAACCATTTTGCCTATCTATTCAGCCTGACCATTCGAAAATATTTTCCTCATATTTTTAAGTTAAATTCGTGGCTACGAAATGTGCTAAAGAAGAGGCCAACTGGTAACTTTAATTCCTTTTACGCGTTAATAAAAAAAAAAGAATTTTTTAATTTAAAATAAAATGGCAAGGTTGTGAAGTTATGCAGCGATGAAGTGCTCACGTGATGAAATCCTGAAGCGACGAAGCAACGAAGTGGTAACGCGATGGAGCGATACGCCGCGGCGAGCCAAGACGGGAACGGATTCCCGCGCCCATACAAACGTAGGCGTTACACACATGTTGAGTCGTACATTTTCAAATTCTGTTATGCCTGACTCTTGGTTTAATTCACCTTCACCAGTTTACCCCATTCACTCGTTCACTTCGCATTCGTTAAGTAATCCCTTGTAGGTGTCAACCATGACGTGTTGAACGATTGTGTACATTTTCTCCTTGGAGTCCTCATCTTCGTTTCTCTTCCTTTCTATTTTTACTCGAACCCTCTTGGGGGGGTTCCTGATGCCCTTGGACCATATGAACTTGTTGAGTTTAACGTCCAAACGTACGTCCTGCAATAATTGAAGGGGGGCAACATGGCAAGCCATTCGTGGAAGCATACACATTTAACGCATATGTATACATATTCGTGTACAGCCGTAACTGAATGTACGTATAAACCCGCGTTGGCACATTTGCAGGCAAAGCTTCACACACGTTTCCAACGAAGTAACAATATAAGGGAAAAGGCAAAGGCGCCCAATCAAGGCGGCGACGCATGCGTACCTTTGTGTGCATGAGCTTTCCTGCGATGTTCCTTATTTCCTTGATGGCTCTTGGAGCCTTTCTTTTGTAGCACACATCATGCGTCAACTTGCTAAGATTTATGGTGATGACTTTCGTCACTGGTTTAAGCGTTTTCTTCTGCTTCTTGACAGCTGCGCGGAGGGGGTAAAAAATAAAGGGCATCGATATTACGTTATATTATACTGTACTATGTGCGGGGTTAATTCTGTTGCTTTTCACTCATGCAACACTCATTTCGAGAAACTGTGCTTCCGTCCCCTGGGAGTCGCTCAGTTGTGCTTTGCTTCCTGGCGATTTTCTTTCAATGCTAGGAAGCCCCTCTTATTTTTTGAAGCACTTCGCTTCGGAGAAGGAAGCACATATTTCTTTTCTGCCTTTCTGCGCTTGTGCCTTCCTGCGTCTATGCCTTTCTGTGTTTGTGCTTTTCTTTTTTTCCCCCTCATTTTAGTATTCCAGCAAAGGCCTCCTCCATTTCAGCACAAACGCGCAATAAAATATACGTGCTGGCTCGTACAATGCGCCTTCCTCTTTTCAATACCTTTCGCCATTTTTATCTTCCGTGGGGGATCGCAAAACAGGGATGCTGGAATTTATCAAAAGAAAATCCACACGACGGTTGAAATGTGGCTTCTTTTAAGCGAAATTTATAAAAAATTCCCTTCGTTTTTATGCTAAAAAAATGTTGCTCCTCAAGCGGTATGAACTACTACAAAATAGCATTCCGATTTGTTTCTTTTGTTCTGACTTAATTTTTTTTTTTTTTAAGTTGCTATTTTTTTAAAGTTACTATTTTTTTAAAGTTGCTATTTTTTGAAGTTGCTGTTTTTTCAAATTGCTCCTTTCTTTTCTCCCCAATAAGTATGTTTATATAAGTAGGTACAATATATGCAGCACATACGTTCACTCTTTTTTGAGATCCGTATGCGTGCATACGCGGATTTCCCACCTCTGCGTCACCTGGCGCGATGGTATTCGGAATTCGATGCGCACGGTAGATATAACTTCGAGGGGGGTTTCATATTGCATCATATATAGGTCGAGTTTTTTTTTTTTTTTCCACCATTGGGGCTTCGCAATTATATATAATGGCACAGCGTGCGCGTTTGTCATGCGAAGAGGGCGTTGCCGTGAGGGATGTATGCAGCAGAAAAAGGGGAAAAAAAATGCACCCTTTTTTTCCTCCCCCAAAAACGTATAAGAGGATAATCCATTCTGGTGTTGTATTTGGTTTGCTCATTTTAGACTTTTATACATCTTTTCCGCTATTGTTCGTGCTCTCTTAAAAATGAGCATTTCCTTTTCCCAGATGTGAAGGAAAAACGCCTCCGCTTTTTTCTTCCCCGTTTCGTAAAATGTCAAGGGGCCCGAGGGGGGTTTTTCCTGCCCGGGGCAAAAATTATCAACGGGATACGCCCACACCGATTGCCATTTATTTTTTTTCTTTCCCCTAAACATACCATTTTTCCTTCATTTTGCTATTCACGCGAAGCGCTTTGCGTTCACATTTGGAAGGAGGCACAAGCAAATTGAGTTGGCGAAGATTAGCTAATTTTTACCCCTTCGAAAAGGCAAAAAAATTTCTCCCCTTTAAGAATTGCACAAAATAAGTAAACTGGTCCATCATTTTTTACCATTTTTAAAGGGCAATTGTTCTATGTGTACTCCTTTTAAATGCAGAAAAGGGGTGCAGTTTTCGCCACATGAAAAAAATGTGAACGTGTAGGGAGACAACCAACTGTTGCGCCATTGTGGAGTAGCGTAATTGAGAACATCCCGCAGGGCATCGCAGAAGGGGAGACTACCCAAGGGTGTACGTCTTCATAGTTCGTTCCTTCACAAAATGGGGAAAAAAAAGGGCGGTGAAGCACACCGTCTTTTATCACACCCAATCCCTTTGGGAAGCAAATAAACCGCGGAACGTGAAATTCGTAGTAGACGTGGTGTTAACATGAACCTGTTGGGGATGACACCCCGAAGGTATAAATGTGTATATATGCGCATAGGAAAATGCAATTGGATGTACATAAAAAAAAAAAAAATTCTTTATCCTTCGACAGCTTCTTCCGTCCTCCCTTTTTTTCCTTCCAACTCACCGCAAACGGAACCCCTTCCCCCCGGCTCGCCCACTAGAGATACTTACCCAAAAAATTAAAAACGGAAATGCATTTCCCAATAAAGTTGTACGAGCAAATGTCAATGAAGTCCTGTCCAGGGGGAGGATACTTCTTATAATCATACCGATAAATCAGGGAAGAATTCTTAACCCACAAATTGTTTGACAACCCCCTATGCAAAATCTTGGAGTCATAAATGATGACGTCTTGTGGATTTACATCGGGAATGAAGGAAGACCCTGTTTGGTAATATATCTGTAAAAATCTCTTAAAATTGTGAATTTTTTCCTTCCTTTTTTTTTTCATTTTTATGGACGTAAATAAATGTGTTCCGAGAAAAAATTCAAAGTTCCCTGACTCCTCGTTTATCTTATGCAGCGGCAAAATAACGCTTACCCCACTTAACCCATTGTCGACATGGTGTGACTGAATTTCGCTCAAAGGTTCGTTGTTCACCAATTGCAATTCGGATAAAAATATTTTCTCATTCCTCTCACTCGATACATTTACACTTTTAAAATCATCCATTTTTAAAATTGCATTTTTTTCCATCAAATCGTACACATTTTGGTACCCCCCAATTGGTAAGTAGGCATAAATGATGTTCATCCAGTACTGCTGCAAATTTGTGAAGAGGTCACTCACTTTGCTGTTTCGTAGTATGCAGTACTGCCTTCCCCGTGTGGGTCGTATGCAGAAGATGTTATTATCCCTATCCATGAGAAGGGGCGATACGTTACTTTCTTTTTTGTCGAGAAATAAGTCTTTTTTTATTTTCTCTATGTCTACTTTAGTGAGGAAGTTTTTCAAAACGACTACTCCGTAGGTTGCCAGGCTGGCCTGTATTTCTTTCACCGTGTCGATGTTCAGGACGTATTTGGCAGGTTCGACGACCGGCTCCTCTTGCACAGCAGCGTTTGTCACGCTTACCGTTGCTTCTGCGCCAGCCTCACCTAACCCCAAGTAGCTGCTTAGCTCCAAGCCTAGATCCTTTCCCACATTTTCACTGCAGTGCCTGTACGACCGCTTCCTCCTCACAAAGTCGAAAAAGTTGTTTCTCTTGTAATTAACTAGCAGGTAAATGTACGCATAGATATATAGCTCATCGATCAGGGTGTCTACAAAATCGTCGATCGATTTAACCTTAACCCTGTTACGCTCAAAAATGAATTCCTTTAAGTGCGCCCAATTGAGGTTCTCCAGAAAGGATTGCACTGGGGGGGAAGAATCCGCCTCTTCCCCTTCGTGATCCGTCACTGCACACTGGACCTCCATAAATTTTATCACATCCTCCACTATTGCTTCTACATGTTTGTTTGCTTCCACTTTTTTTTTATTCCCATCTTCGATTAACTTTCTTAAATCGTCTTTTTTCCCTTCAAAGAGGTTATTCAAATATTGCAAGTGGTAGTCCACAGGGTAGTAATTATTTGCTGCCCCTGAAATTGCGACAAGGGGCAAGTTGAAATTTGCGCATACCTTTTCGATTCGAGTGGCATATTTCTTTTTATCGATAAATTCAAAGTTCTTCTCCGTCAGGTGGAAGTAGATCTTCTGCTCCACATGTTTGTACTTTTCCTTTTTCCGTTTAATGTACTCATTGCAAACTCCTGCGAGGGGGGAGTAGCAAAATGGGCAGCCGCGCAATGGGCAGTCGCGAGAGCGATGTCTTAACCGACTGCGTGCGCCTCGGGGAGGCTAAAACGGATGAGCTGTAATGCCCATCGATTCCATCGCTCATTCGACACATCGGCGACGCCCACACCCGAGCCTTTCGCGCGAGAGACAGGCACTCTTCCTTCCCTTACCCACGTTGAGCGACACAAACGAGAGGGCGTAAAGCAGGTACTTGTACTCAAACTTGGAGCGAAAGGGTTCCCCGCGTTTAATCATTCTAGTAAACAAATCGACTAATCAGGTCCCACCTAGTTTCACAAACAAAGATAGAAACATACAAACACGCACATGCTTACGTATCCGCATCTATGTGTTTAATCATACCGCTTGGCACTCCAAGTTTTTTTTTTTTTTTTTCCACAAGTGCATGCGACAGAATGGGGTAATATGCCTTCTGGTTCTTTCCCCGAACGATGCATCTATATGTTGTTTGATTTTCGGAGGGGGGCGGGTCGTCTTCCAGTTCGTGTTCGCCTTGTTTAGCTTGTGGGAAAAAAACGGTTGCTCCAAATGCATGTGTTGACGCTATGGCGAATTTTCCTCAGGAACCCCCTCCATTGGGGGACATTAGCAGGGAGCGCCAAACGAGGCGACAAACAAAGCGACAAAGGAGTGTATCTTAAAAAGTCCCCTCGAAGGCACACTTTGAAGGCACCGCCGGGCCCACCTCAGAGAAGCACATCTCTAACAGGCTCGATTTTATTCGTCGCGGCGTGGGTGGCTCCCCCGTGGCAGCACTATACAAAATTCGAGAACTTCCCTGGCACAATTTCGACGCGACAAAAGGAATACCAACCTGGCAAGGGCCCGTGGCCAGGTGTCAAAATAAGAAAAAGAAGAATAGTCCAAACTGAGTAGGCCAAACCAAACTGGCCCAGTAAAACAACCCAGCAAAGCGGATGTAAAATTCCCCGCACGCGAAATACCCACCACGTTTCTCGCGGCCTGCCTGCTCAGAACCGCAAAGCGAATGGGCAGAAAAAACAGCCCAGAAACGGTACGCGGTGCTTTTTTCCGAGCCTGCACTGGGCCCAAGGCTTATCCGAATGCACAGAGGAGTTTCCCCGCTACTCGGTTGATCTCACCCGATCGGAGAATGCCCACACAACTCTCCTCAAACGCCAGAAGGCCTTTTTTTCACGCAAACTTCCTCACGTGCACTCCACCTCTGTATAAGTGATTAATTCAGAGAGTAAAGTGCCAACAAGCCAGTTGACGTTTTTCCTTCGTAGGCACATTTCTTACACGTAGGGAGAAAGCCCCTACTTTCTGCAATATCTCCCGTGCAACTTTCCCCCTACCTGCGCAAAAGGGAAAAGGTAGCACGAAGATCTGTACGTAGCTACCAAAGAGCATGTTTATGTAAATCCCGTGAGTTCCCATCTGAGGAGTGTACCTTTCCGGGTTCATGTTTGGATTTATTTTTACGTTTACTTTTACCTTTTATTTATTTTTTTATTTTTGCCGCTAACTCTTGTAACCTTGCCAATTAACGCGCAGTTGCAAAAAGGGGGTCATTTTTTTATGGTGAAGATACTCAAATGTATTTTACACCAACCCACAGATGCACAACCGTTTTGCGCAGTTTGGCTCCTGTGTGGTGCGAGGCGAGAGGTTGCTCTTAACCCCTACTCATTTCACGAGGCAGAGTGACCAACGCGATTATGTCGCTTCGTAGCAGTGTAGGAAAAGGGAACCCATTTGTATTTACCCTAGAAGGCAACTCCTTGACACCTTCCAACCAGCACAGAGGTGTCTCCGCTAACTAGTGAGGATCTTCCACGAATTAGACGTACTCTGCCAAAGCCCATCCGCTGCGTGGCTAGCTAACCAAAAATAGAAGAAATCTTGGGGAGAAGGCCCCTCGCGCGGAGGAATAGGCAACATGGGCCGGGTTTGCAAAGCGGACAGCCTGCCATTGACCTACTCCGAACTCACGTGCATCTGCTTCTTCTACCTCTTCCTGCTGATAAGCTTCCTGGTATGGTGTCTACGCAAAAATCAATTTAGAAGCAAAATAAATGAAAGGCATAAGTGGAAGAATAGCGAATCTCATGCTAAGAATGAGAAGATCGAATTTTTTAACTACATTTACGAGGCGGGCGAAGAGGACGACTCAGACGACATTGTAGTTCGACAAGAAGGGTACCAAAATAGCTTTGTCGGGTTCGCACTGAAGAATGCTTCCATCTTCCTTTACGTATGCACCCATATCATTATCCTCTTCTTAATTGCAAATGAGTATTGCATACGCGAGGGGGGTGAAGTCTTGTGGAATGACCGAGCCTTTATTTTCTTCATTTTTCTCCTCCTCTGCTTTTCCATTACTTATGGCATTTTGACAGTGAGGAAACATCTCCACAGCTTCTTTCTGAAACCCTCTCTACTGAAAGAAAGTGATTATGTCTTGATATACACCAAGAGCGATGAGTACGCCAACACGTGTAAGACTTCCCTTAGGCGAAGTTTCTTCCATGCCGTTAGCTGGGCTAACACATGGTATCACACGTTAGGGAGACGCTTCCGACATTATGCGACTCTATATCTGCGCTACCAGGAGGTGATAAAACGTGCACTCTTTTTAGAAATTGCCAAGTGGGGCTTCATTCAGAAGGGAGCAGAATTTGGAAGTACCCTCTCAGGAAACAGTGAGGAGGAGAGATGCCACCCCCTTGGGGGGGGACAAAAGGATGGCCACCACAGAAAATATGAAGACATTTTGGAAGACACACGTTTGTTAAGCGACCACGCGAGGAAGGGACATTCGTTGGGTCACCACGAAAAGGGGGCTAACAAAATGGCAGGAAAGGAAGGCGGCAAAGGGGCAATCAACGCGGCAGGCAATGCGCCATCCCCGGTGGAGACCAAAGCCGGCGCCGCCTTCCCACCCTTGACAGTGCACAAGATAAAAGTGCAGACAAGCGAAAAGAACCTGCGCTACTTCTTCTTCAGAAGCATGAAGTACGTATATAACGAAGAGAAGGACGCATTCCACAACATCGCGCACACCATTGAGGAAAAGGTACAGAGCCTCGACTTCAACTACCTACTAAAAAAAGGAGGATTAAACAACAGCGAAATTATTAATAACCTAAATGACTACGGTTACAACAATATACATCTCGAATTCTGCTCCTTCTTTAAAAGCATAAAAAGAGAGGTACTCGATGGGATCTACATGTTCCAGCTATTCATAACGTACAAAAATTTTTTCTGGAAAGAAATGATAACTTCTCTGATTTGGCTAGTCATCTCGTTCATAAGTGTTGTGAACAAAATTAGAAAAAATGATAAAAATAAAAAAGAAATTTATGAGAACATCCAATCCACCAACAATACCCTCGTCACTGTGTATAGAAATTCAATCGTTCAGCATGTCCCCTCTAGTAACTTAACCATAGGAGATGTGATCATTGTCAATTCCAAGATGACGATGCCTTGTGACTGTCTCCTACTGACGGGGCAAGTCTTAGTAGATGAAAGTCTTCTAACTGGAGAATCAAGGCCAATGAAAAAGACATGCATATCAAATTTGAGCTCCTTTAACCCCTTTGACAATGGGGCGTACTCATCGTCTAGTGATTCTTTCCCCTTGGGAGGTTCCCCAAATGGGAAGAAGGCCCAATGGAAGAATGCCTCTCCACATGCAGCCAATCCTATGAGTGGACAGTTCAGGGGAAACACTACCCATGAGAGATTCACCAAAGGGAAGTACTACAGTGCGAAGCGAAACTTCCATCACAACAATATTCTATACTCTGGCACGGACGTCCTTTCCACGATGAATTCAACAGAGAACATCTATGCAGTGGTCATCAGTGTGAGCATATACACATACAAGGGGAAGTACATGCAGAATGTTCTGTTCCCAAATCCACTTCTCTTCAAATACGACTCGCAACTACCCATCGTCTTTGTCTTCACTATTCTATTCTCTATCATATGTATGTACTTTCAAATACGTTCCTTGGGCCTTAACATGACTTCCATCTTTTACACCATCGGGACAATGTCCCAGATTCTACCTGTCTGGACCCCCGTTGTTCTAAACATAGGATTAAACATATCAACAAATAGATTGAAGGAGGAGAAAAACATCCGATGCATTGCTCCATCAAGGATTCCCATCTGTGGGAAAATTAGGATATTTTTTTTCGACAAAACGGGGACACTTACGGGGCACAAAATTGAATTTTCAGGCGTCCATTTTAGCAATAACGTTTTGAATGAACAGAAGGCACAGCTATCTGGACTGGACAATCATAGCAAAAGCGTGTCCGACGATACCTACGATGTCAAGTATGAAAGTTATTACCCCTCCAGTAAAATCAACCTAAGTTCGGTTAGGAAGGACGGGTCGCCTGGAATGGAGGCTGGCCATCGAGTGGAAAGCAGCGTCCCCCATGGAGGGGCCTCCTCCTCGGGCGTCGCCTCACAGAGAGATAGAAATGTTCAAGCGGCGGAGAGCGAAGGTGGGGCAGATCACGCAGCAGCGCTGGATCATATGGACGAGGCAGAGCGCGCAAATTTGGAAGACCACGCAGCAGCGATGGATAATATGGACGTAGCAGGTCACTCAAACGGGGAACACCACGAAGCAGCGATGGGTCCTATGGACGGGGAAAGTCAAACAAACGGGGCAAACCACACAGATGGTGCGTCCCCGCCCTCCCATTACTCCAGCGTCGACGATGAAGTTGTTCCCGTGGTGGCCGATTTGGGCCAAGCTGCGAGCAGCGCGAATGGAAAGGAAGGCGGTGTTGTTGTAGATGATAGAGGCTTCGTTGGAGGCGATAGCAGTATTGTTGGATGCGATGGCGGCGTTATTGTAGATGATAGCGACTTTGTTGTAGGTGATAGCGGCGTTGTTGTAGATGATAGCAGCTTTGTTGGAGGCGATATCGGTGTTGTTGTAGATGATAGCGGCTTCGTTGGAGGAGAAAGCGGCTTCGTTGGAGGAGAAAGCGGCTTCGTTGGAGGAGAAAGCGGCTTCGTTGGAGGAGAAAGCGGCTTCGTTGTAAGAGAAAGCGACTTCGTTGGAGGAGAAAGCGCCTTCGGTGGAGGAGAAAGCGCCTTCGGTGGAGGAGAAAGCGCCTTCGGTGGAGGCGATAGCAGCGTTGTTGTAGGTGATAGCGGCTTCGTTGGAGGCGAAATGGGAGTAAGCATTGGCGACCTGAACCGTGCGAGGCAACCCCCCGACGAGGCGGACGCTAGCCATCCCTCCAGCGGAGACGACTTCCAAAGCTACGACGAAACGGATGAGAATAAATACCTTGAGAATCAGAACAAGGAGGTGTCTCATGCGGGAGAAGAACAAAAGGGAGGGAACCCCGATCAGGGAGACAACGTCGGAGGGGCTAACAACCTTTCAACTTTTCCAAATGACGAAAAGGAAAACCCCGATGAAGAATCCTTTTTGCCAGAAGAGGAGGAACAACATCCCCTGGAGAACAGAAGCTTTTCCATCGAGATAGACACAGATGAGTCCCCAAAAAGGGCCAAGAAACAAAAAGAAAATGTTCCCATTGTGGGACGAGAAAATGTTAGTCAGAAATCGGCCGAGGAAGAAGCAAACCAGACAGAAGAGGAACCTCCGATGAGAAACTGCCATTTCAACGAGTCCAACTCATCCATGAATTCTGTCACGTCACTCCTTTACAACAGCAAACTGATGTGGGCAAATAAAGCGACCCTGAAAAATACCCCTCCAAGTTATCATCTACTAGTGTACGCCCTTGCGGGATGCGCCTGTGTCTACAACGATACCATGACTGACAATATATATGGACACGAAATTGATAAAAGATTATTCGAAGCCACGGAAATGAAGATAAGTAACTACATTAACAAACACAACATGAACGTGAAGAAGGTGTCTCTAAAAATAAATTGCACAATTAAACATTTCGACATTCTGAAGACATTCGAATTTGATTACTTCACCAAAATATCGACGACACTAGCGTATGGCTACTTCGATTTTGGGGAAAAAAATTTTGTCGTTTTTTCAAAGGGCTCTTTTGATAAAATTTACAAAAAATGCATCAAAAATGAGGAGATACAGTTTTTTAAAAAGAAAGAACAAGAATACAGTAAAAACGGGTTCTACGTAATTGGGCTAGCTTTTCGAATCATATGTGGCACTTCCTTTGAGGAAATATTACAGCTTCCAAGGGAAGAGTTAGAAAAGGATATGAGCTTCTTAGCCCTCATCATGTTTAGCAATTACATCAAGAAGGATGCTGAGTTGGTTATTCAAACTTTAAAGGGCTCTTCCATCAGACCAGTAATTCTTACTGGCGATAATGCCTACAACTGTCTCTACGTGGGGAATAAAATTGGTCTCTTCAACAGCATTAACTTTTACGAGTCCTTCCTCTCCATTAACATGAACTCGAACTCAAACACGAATACGAACTCGAATTCCAACTTGAATTCCAACTCGAACTTCAACTCAAACTCGAACTTCAAGTCCAACTCGGCGGAGAGGATACTGAACGAACGAGAGAACATGTTCCTCTCCACCGAGACGAAATTTTTGTCATTTGAAAATTTTATCAAGTCGAACGCAAAAGTAGGACGGGGCGACGAAGAAAGTGTCGCCGGGAGGGCAGTAAACAAGTTCGCCCAATCGTCCCAGCGCCAACGGGAATACGACGCCGGTTTCTACGTGTCGCAGGGCCAGGGCGCCGATGGATTTGCGCAAAGGGCAATGGACGGGGCTGCTGCTATATTGCGAACCCACGAGAAGGGGGAGGAAGTGGGAGCATCACCCACCAGGATCTACCGAGATATGGACGAGGACTACGCGGGGGGCGAAACCACGACGCTGCTCCACCGCGGGCAGAAGTCCGCACAGGGGGGCGGACCGAACGGGCACCCCAGCTCGGACGGAAACAGCCACGGCAGCGGTAACAGCCGCAACAGCTACAACAGCGTGAACGAATACAAGGCCTATCGGGCCATCGACGCCCACGGGGACGAGGCACCCTTCCTCGAAGCAGTCAGCCAGATGAACCCGTCGCAAAGCAAAGACCCGTACTACACGCACGACCAAAACGAACAGAGAAGCGAAAATGTTATTGTCTACGGATATATGCAAGAAGCCTCCACCGACCTCGTATTTGTGAACATACAAAATGATAAAAAAGTGAATTCAGAACAAGTGCTCTTTGGAAATATCTACAAAGAAATTATCCTAACGGGTGAAGCATATACTTACATAAGGCACACTGTATTTCATATCTCCAATGAAGAGGAAGATATACCTTCCTATCGTAACGTTGAAAAGTTGGAAGGTTATAAAAACTTCCTCCTACGTGTACGGATCTTCTCCAGATTAACTCCAAACAACAAGATGGAGGTGATAAAAGATTTCATAAAATATGACTACATTTCTGGCATGTGTGGAGATGGAAGTAACGATTGCGGAGCTCTGAAAATTTCTCATGCAGGGCTAGCCTTATCAGACGCGGACACTTCTGTTGTATCCCCTTTTAGTAGCAAAAATGATAATATAAAAAGCGTCATTGATGTTTTGAGAGAAGGTCGAGCTTGTCTAGTCACCTCTATTAACTGCTACAAGTATATGCTGCTCTATGGATTCATGATTTCTGTTGTAAAGATTGTCCTCTTTATGAATGCTCATGCAGTTATGTCTGAATATGGCTACCTCTTCTTCGACAACGTCATCCTCCTATTGCTAGCAAAATCCATGACCCTTTCCAGACCAGCTAGGAAATTAAAAACACAGACTCCCACGTCAAGTATCATTGGAGCTCAGACTATCATTTCTTTACTCTCCAATTTGGTTGTCAACTTTTTTTTTCTCTATATAATTATGTTGCAGTTTTTTTATGTGTATGAATTACCATCCTCTTATGATATGAACAGCTCTGCTCCCAAATCTTCTTGGTGGCTCATGAGCGACAACTACGAGAGCTTTTTGGCCTGTGTTTGGTTTTGCTTCCAGATTGTGAATAGTGCCTTCATTTTCACCTTCGGCGGCAAGTACCGCAAGCCCATTTTCTCCAACTACACCTTCATGGGGTGAGTACACGCAGAAGCGTGCGAGAGGCGATGTGTTAGGCGGTGCAACAAGCGATGCTCCAATGGATGTGCCAAGCTATGCGCTAAGCGCTACATGTCCCGCACTGCTCATCCGATTAGTGTCCACCTCCTCACCCTTCCCATCTAACCACTCCTTCCCTCCCCGCCCCTCACAGGTACTACTGCCTCATCAACAGCTTCCTGCTCTACCTGACGGTCGGAGGGCCCAACCGACTCACGTGCCTCTTCCGAATGAACTGCAACGACGAAGTTTCAAGAGCGACCAAATTCAAAATTCTCGATTTATTCTCCTACTCAGCCAGCGGCCTAAGTTTCTACGGCCCAAACGGAAACAACATCCTCACCACAGGCCACAAAGTGAAATTCATTTTTTTAAATCTTCTTAACATAGCTGTCAACATTTGCATCTCCAAATACGTTTTGTGCGAGCCGCTGTACAACATGGTTAGGCGGTTCTTCAACTTCCAGAATCGGAAGGTCCCCGTTTAGCCTTCCTTGGTGCATGGCCATCACCCGTGTCACCACCATGACCATCTTTTTTTCCAACACACGGGTGAACTGCTCTGTGTTTATCGACGTTTCGCAACTCCCCCCGTTTTCTGTCTTCGCATTATGTGCTTTTACTATGATCATGTTGCGCTTTTACCTTGTCTTTACTTTGTTTTCCTTTTTTTTTTTTTATTTGAAACCTTTATCTAATTGGCGGCGGAGTTCCCCGCAGCTGGTATTTCAAACCGTTTCGCCATCACACTTTCGGGACGATGTCTGTGCGCTTTTGGCCCCGCCACTTTCGCCACGCCGCTTCACCCTTCAGCCCTTAACCGTAATTCAATTAATGAGTTGACACGAGGCAGGTCAACTCATGTTAACAGCAAAAGATAAGCTATGTTGTGGATAAAAACAAACTGCCCATGGTGTGAACGGGGAGAAAATACCCTCGACAAATGTCTGGGCAAATAGAGTGCTGGCCACGCCACCGATGACTCTACAAGCATGACGCTACACACACAAACGGGCTAACAAACAGATAGCCATTTGAGCAAACCCGCGGTGAAGAAAACGCGGCGAACAAAACGTGGCGAAAAAAACGTGGTGCGGCAAGAGGGAGTCCCCTTCGCTGAGCATCACTTTTCCCAGTTTTGCTAAAATTATAATTTTACGAAATGTGACTGTGCAGGTGGGAGCACACATCGCCCTTCCATGTGGAGTGATTCACATCAGGCGGGGAGCACCCTACTTTCTCGGACAACTACAAAAAAAAAAAATGAATTAATGAATGAATCAATAAATCAATTAATCAATGCACGCAAGAATGAATGTGCTAAGTCAGACAGCAACCGAATGGAGAGACAGACAGACACATACACATGCAGAATGGTCAAACCGATGGACACACTTTTCTGTGAACCCAATTTTTCCTTAACTCAATTTCCTCACTTTCGAAAAAGCTCTTGTTGGAGTTCTCCTTAGCACACCCGTGCGTGTCGAAGTGGCGATGAGGGAGGCAGAAGATCCTTTTGCATTTTTTGCAGGTGTAATTGTTGATGTCGTTCAGGGCCTGACAAGTTTGGAGGTTATTCCGGGAGAGGGGAGGGGGGAAAAATAAAATGTGTCCCATTATCCGTATGCGTGTGAGTACCCTTAAGTGTGAGGGTATACGTTTGTGTTCACTCAAATGGGGTCCTCCTAAGGGCGCAAGACGTCGTTGCTCCATTTGGGTCATCTTTTGACACCCGTCCTATCTTTGCGCTTGGCCACTTCTCAACTGGACCAGCCTCGCCTCCTCACCGTCTTGCAGCCCTTCTTGCCGCACATCACCAGGGACTTCTTCTTCTTAAAGGTGCACTTGTGACTTACGTGATTTTCTATTTCCTCGTTTTTCTGCAATTTTGAAAGCGGAAGGGGCATTTGGGTATGGCGCGGACAGTTGAGTGAGCCAGCTGATGTGCGAAAAATGGCGTAGGTAGGCATGCACCCACGTGTGGTGCCATATGTGCCACCAGAGGGCAGCCACAAGGCCGTCACAGTACCCCTTCTGCATGGTGCGCTCTCTTGACTTACCTCTGGGAGAACCCCATTGCACCGGTCGCAGAGGACGACTTGTTTTAAATCTGCAGCCTTGGACTCGGCGCAGGAGTGATCTTGAATATTTCTGTGCAGTTCGCAAAACTGACAAGGGGGGAAGAAGAAGAAAAAAAGAAGCAAAAAAGAAGTAAAAAAGGAGCAACAAAAAGATAGCATATTTATTAACGTGTTGCTGAAAGGACGGGGTGCCCAAAGGTCGACGAGCTAATGCGACGCCTCAACAATGTGCAAGTGCCCTTTCGCTGGGGACACACACAAATCGCTCATCATGTCTTCGTTCCAACGTTGAACAAAGCTACTATGTTTCGTCCGGCAGTCACACGTTTCACAGAGGGGACTTTTAAAAAGAATTTTTCTTTGTACACTTAAACCGCAGTATTCACATTTAAAGGGGAGAAAGTCATGGTACCTACATCCGTCCAGATCGCACTTTCTCGCAAAATCAGAGAAGTACGCCATGTTCTTTCGCCGCGCTGTTAGGTCTATCCAACTTTGTGTTTGTGCCTTTTCGCATTTTGTTAGTTACGCGCCTGGCTACTGCACGGATGGTCGTTCAGTGGGGGGTTGTCGCACTTCAGGTTGCCGCTTCCAAGCGCGTGCGTTCCCCTCTTTGGTGCCTTTTTCATAGCCCTTTGGCTCCTCTGCTCACATTTTTTTTGCCTTCTTTATAATTTTTCTAAATTGCCCATTAGGCGCATTGAAAAAAAAAAAAAAAAAAAATTCTATTTTTTCTGACGTATTTTCCCCTCCCCAGAAATTATGCCAAAAAAGGGGAGGCAAAATAATCCTGCTTATATACCGCGATTAACGTGACGAAGGAAAAAAAAAAAATTGCGATTATTACACAATGAACCCTTTTGCATGACAATGTTTTTTTAAAAAAGGAGAGAAAAAAGAAAGAGGCCTCTATAACGCTGGATTTTTTTTTCATTTTGTTATTCTCTCGTTTTTATTTGGGTCACTTCTTCGACCGACCTATTTCAAAATTGCAGGTTTTTTTTTTCTTTTTTTTTGTGTTGCTGGATGGGCAACAATTTTCTTGCAGTGATGACATGTGTAATTCTCCCTTCATGAAGGTAAGTTCTGTTTTCGTTTTGCGCCACGCAGGTACTTTCCTCTCTCGGCTATGTTTTGCTTAGTTTCACTTCGCTCCACTTCGTTCCATTTCGCTTGTTCCAATTTGAGGAGATCCAACTGGCGCGGGGGTCCGCACACACGTCCACTACGTCATATAGAAACTGTGCCATCAATCGGCATTTTTTCTCCCCACCTTCCCGTTCCGTCAGAGTACCAAGACAGTTCTGCGCGTTTTTGCCCCACACAAACGAAGCGCAACTATACCTGACCCATTTTCGCCCAACCCGTCAATCCCTCAGCAAGGACAATGTTCTTTCGACACGACGAAAGGAATTTACCAATAATCCACTGGTGAAAAAATGACCAAAGCAGGTGGGCGTGTAGAATTAGCAGACAAATTGGGGAAAACACATTTCGCCTCCCCCCCCCCATATATGTGCACCACGCATTGCATTTTTCTCCTTCGCAATTTTTTTGCACACGCGGAGAGTTTTTTTTTTTTTTCGACGTTGGGGGGAATTCAGACAAAAAATGTCTGCCACGTTTCTTCGCACTTTCGATGTTCCACTTGTTCCCATTTTCGTCGCTCCACTTCTTCCCATTCGCGCCGCCATACCTTTTCGCCTCTTTCCCCTGTCAATTGTCCGCATTTGCCCCTTTCGCGCCCCTGTTCAATCTTCAAATAAACGCCTTTCCCCTGGCTTTGCACCAACGCGGAATGGACGTCACGCTCAATCACTTGTGAAAGGCGCTTAGTTTCTTCGTCTTCCCGCGCTACACACGTCGGAGCGTCCACCTGGCATAAATCAGTTGCTGAGACTCAGACAAGTCACACAACTGCTTCGCAAAGGCGAACGTCCCCCTCTTGCAGTGCTAGAAGGGAGACAAAGTGCCGCGTGATTGGACTACCTCTGTCTGCCCCAATCCTAGCGCTTCCCACGCCATACAAACATATGTGTTTGCCTTCATATGTGTTTTCGTTCATATGTGTTTTCGTTCATATGTGTTTTCGTTCATACGTGTTTGCACTCATACGTGATTGCCTGCACGCACGTGTAGTGCCCACTTGTCCGCTGCGCCCCACCCATATGATGTTCCCCCCCAGCGTCGTTTTTATGTATATATTTTTCTTGTGCTTCTTCACCCTCTACCTGTGCCTGCTGCTTCTGTCCTTCTTCCTGTCACTCTACGTCTCGCTTCACTTCTTCTGCGTCCTTTTTTTTTTCTTTTACATCTTGCTAGAATTTAGGGACAAAATTGAAGAGAAAAATATTAAGAGCCAAGAATTATTATGTTTTTTGCGCCTTCTGTAATTGTTTTTTTCCTTCCATCCATTTTGCTCAATTTAGTAAGTACCTTCCACCTCAGCAAAGTAGTCTCTACTTCATTTCTGTCTAGAAAAGGCACTCTTCGAAATGTGAATTCAGGGGAGGAACAAATTATTCTTTGTAGGAATTTGCAGAGGCATTACAACAATGTGCACTCCCAAACGGTGGAACACTTTCTATGCAAAAATGAAAAAATAGATGGCCAAAATGCATGGACATGTTTCTTTAAGAAGGACCAGACGTTTTCCAAATTACTTGTCCATCCAACCCTAGTCGAAGAATTGAAGAAAAATAACATCATCATCCCGTCACTCATTCAGTTCGACCTGTTGCAATATTATAATAAGTACTTCCCGATGCTTCGAAATGTTATCATCGGTGCTGAAAATGGGATTGGAAAAACGTTGTCCTACATCATTTTCGTTCTGAACCACATCTTGATGCATTCCAGCAGGGATAACAGAGTCTTCGTCCTGATTTTTCAATATAGCGGGTTGCTAACTAGGCAATGCCTCCAAGTGGTTCGACGCCTCTCCAGGTGAGCATAACGGTGTCTCGCTAGAAGGGACAGCACCCAGCACGGCGCAGCCATCGCAGTATAGTGACTCTCCACTAAAGTCACTACCAATTAATTTGACTGTCCATTAAACTGAGTTTCCACATGCCTCTTCCAAACTACACCCTTCTCCCTCCACGCAGAAACGTCAAGGTGAAATGCGCCACTCTTAATCCAACCCCCCTAACCCCCGTGAACCTGAACCCAGACAGAAGCCTCATTCTGATCACCTCCCCCGTGAGGTTCGCCACCTACATGAAGAAAAACGAAGACGCCTTGACTCCTTTTCTCAAAAATCTAGACTTTCTCATAATGGACGAAGTGGACGTCATGTTCGAGGACCCCTTTGTGAAACACGTCAAGGCGCTTTACGAACAAATGAGCAAAGTAGCCAACATGAAATACATCTCCATAGTAACTTCCTCCACACTCCCCAATAAGGG